ATTATACTTTTAGTTTCTTTCATGTTCAGCACATTATAAATGATTGACTTGGATTGCTCAGTTTCTATGCTTCTGTTGTTCTGGTTGAGCTGTTCTTTACTTTCAGCTTCAAAAGTACCTGTTTTCAATCTAATCTAACAGAAAGAAAAGTTTTTATTTTGGTTCCTAACAGTGCATTCCAAACTCTGAAGTCAAACTGATGCAGGTTGATCGGCTCACAGCTTTTTATGAGCCTAATTGCCCTACAACTAGCACCTGGCCAACAAGCCACACCTGTCAGTCAATTGTCCTAAAACCATTACTCCTTACAAACAAAACATGTTGAACCCTGTCAAATAAACACTAGTTTGTTTCATTGAATTGACTTTATAAAAAATAAAATACTTAGGGGATGTATTTGTGCACGTTTTGTTTTCTTAAGAAATAATGGAAAATTCCAGTTTAGACTTAACTGTCCTAAAACATTTGGATGGCATTGTAACTAGGTAATTCAGGTGGAAAATATTAACTGCTGTAATATATAACTAGCTGAAATTTGTATTACATTACTTATGAACTTATAGCCCATTTCTAAATTCTATAAACATGATTTGCAAACTGATTTGCTAACCATACAAACTGAGGTTAGTGTGGGACAGGACAGATTTTTAACATGAAAGTGATAAATGAGAATAGTGAATTCTTAATTTCTGATCTGACCTTAGAAACAAAAATCTGGTTTCTTGCAGTTTTGTACACTGTAAATCTGCTCTGACTGTCCCTGACCATATGCAGTATGTTTTACTGGTCACTAACCCTGATTCCTATCAGGAATAGTCCTTAGTATGAAGTTCTTATTTAACTATTGGAATTATTTAGTGTTTCATAGCTCAGAGACTATACTGACTTGAGGGTGTCTAGTACATAGCACATAATAGTATATACAGTAAGTTAGTAAAGGGTCATAATATTTTAAAATTAAATTAATGTCCTTTAGAATTGAGGAGCTACAGTAAAACACTTTCTTTCCCAGAAGTTTTGGAATCAAGGCCAATTGTGAGCCCTTGATTGGTGACACTGCACAACTTTTTGATCCTTAGATCAAAACAACAACAACAATACTACTACTACTAATAGAAATAAAACCACAAGACGAAGACTAACAGGAAAAATGTTGTTATATTACAAAAGGGGAGAAGGAAAACACTGGAGTACACTGGTTATTTCCAGTAAACTGGAATAATCAAGCAATAAGGATTTAATGATAATTAGAGAAAGACAAGATATCTATTTAAAATATATGTATGTGCTTTAGGCATTTTTCTTACACTGCCAAATATGATATAACTGAACAATAGACTATAACTGCACTAGAGTGTAACCGCAGTTCCATTATCAGGACGTTTGCATTTTCCCTCATGTTCGGCAGGACAAACGAAGACGGTACAGCATGATGCGGTCCAACGAATCGGCCAGCTCCGTCTTCTACCATTCCCAGGAAGAAGATCCGGCCAAGTCCATCTGTGAGGGCAGGGGGCTGCTGGGAGAAGGAATGGTGGTGTCCCTGGGTGACAGTTACCAGGAGACGCTGTCAGAGAGCACAGCTGTCAACACAGAGCAGGCGATGATGGGTACGTGCAAAATATCCACAATATCTCACAATATCCACTTCCCTGACCGGGAGACTCTAATAGTGTTGTGGGAAATTCTTCCTCATAGGTGCAGGACACAGTCTCGTGCAGATTCAGTTATATTGAGCTCAAAAAGTACACAACGTGCGCTGGGTCTGCCCCACAGAACAGACAAACTGCAAGGGTTTCCCAGCTCTTACATACAGTCTGAAGAAAGTTTGTTTCACAATCTGAGTGCTTGTCCTGTTCTTTGATATGTAATTACTTCTTGTCCTGCTCTGTCTTGCTCTAGGTTCTGTCCTTTGATATGCAGCAGACATTGGTCTGCTTTGTCCTGTTTGTGGGTGTTGTTCCTGTATTTTATTATATAGCGTTAAGTCACTGGGGCTACTAAAGCAAGTCAGCTTTATGGCATCTTAGCGTAACTTTTGTTGAAGGCTAAATTAACAGACCCCAGCAACACCTCTCTCAATATTGCGATGCTGGATATGTGAGATGTATTCACGTCCCACTTCAAATAGCATTAGTAGTCAGCATGGTAGATTTTTTTTGGGATCATTGCCCATTTGAGTTGTATTATTTAACTGAGGACAATACCACTGCAGTATAAGCTGCATTTGGAAACACACAAACAGAAAACAAAACTGAAATGCTCAAGTTATTAGAGTTGAAATGAGGCTCCTGCTACAGTATGTGGCAGTGTGAGCCTTTTTGAGCATTTAAGAACTTCACATTCCTGAGTGTAAATCAACACCTGGGACTGCACATTACTTTATTTTGTGAAACGTAATTTGAATGTTCAGTCAAACCCTAATTAAGGTGGGGTAGAAGCTTGATGTCAATTAGTTTGTCATCTTGCCTCACACCCCTGGCAACAGAAGGACAATGTGTTTGTGAGGGCAAACCAGTCGGAACCCTCCTTTGCAAGCGATGAGCCAGGAAACTACTGAAAGAGCAAAGAGAGGGTGGAGGAAGGGATCTGAACTGAAATACGCAAGTGAGTAAATTAAAAACATGATATGTATATGCAGGTAGGCGGGCGTAGGACAGATTCTGATCTCACAAACTATATCTAAACCTTTGTTATAGCAGATGTTTTTTAACTCCTTAATTTCTATGCACTGTATAAATGAAGACTGCCTGATATAAAATGGAAAACCATGCATTTAGGAAAGATAAAAATGTTTTGTAAATGATACATGGAAGGAAAAAAAAATGTTGGAAAGTGATTCATTTAATTGCATATGAAAGAAAACAATTTGAATGAAAATCTTGAATAGAGCATTAATGGGATATTTCTTTTCCATTTTTCATTCATGCCGTTTCTCTCCTATTCCCTCACTATTGGATGGAGCTTCATATTCATACACCTTCTCACGTCCTGTCTGTGTGTGGTTTTAGTGTTTTTTATAAACATGGTGTACTGTATTTGATGCAAGATTTCTCCTTGCTTTCAACCTTACATCAAAGGTGTACTCCCAGGCTGTGTTTTACAACACACATAATTAAACATAACCTAAACATCTGTGTGTTTTTCAGAACATCCATTTTCAACTTTACGAGTGATTAATATAGAAAAGCAGGCAATTCTACAAACAATGAAAGAGAGAAGAAAACTAAACAAAAAAAAGGACACACTATCTCAGCATTGCAGCTGGACTGCTTTTGACATCTTGTGTTTCACTGGCTTCTACAATACAGTATCTAAATAAATTTAATGCATGTGCTTGTGCCTTTTAGGGTTTTATTTTCTGCCTTTTAGTCTGGAACAGTGGGTTGGGAGAAAAACTCCTGCCCTCACCAATCCCAGATAAAAACACATAATGTTGTCTAATTTATTTCAGTTTTTGCTCTTCTGAAACAGCATTAGCAAGCCTTCTTTGTTGCTCACTTGCTGTCTGCTCCCCATTCCCATTACACATCTTCTTGCCCAAGGTCACCTCCTGCTGCTTGTTGTTACTCTATAGTTTTTGGGTTTTTAGCCATTATTATCCCCCCCCCCCCCTTTAAAAATAATGCCACATATATGGCTAATCCATATTTCAAACTCACTCGCCATCTAATGCCAGTTTCATCAATCAGACTCTTACCTCTGGAACTGCTGCTTCAGCTCTCCAAGTGCAGATATCTTTCAATCCAACTTTACTTCTCATAATCCCAATCTCGCTTGATTGCTAATGAACTCCTCCTAATTTAAAGAAGTGGACTATGTCTCTTTACGGAAAGGTCTTACAACATTGAGTCCTCTCCTTCTTCTCCTTCAACCAGCCAGAGAGAAGTCTTTGCTCTTTCACCCTGCATGGTATACAGCTAGCAGCTCACCTGCTGATGTGCTTAAGCTTCTCCCCTTTGTGGTGAAGACGTCACTCCCCAGCAGCCTCAAATAGTCTCCCTTTGCCCCTCACTTCTGCTGCTCTCGTTTTCCCTGCTACTGTTTTGCGAGTGCTTTATCTTCTCGGCACTCATCTGTTGCTTTCCAAGCATAGCCGTCCTGCTCCCTGGTGCAGGTCTTCCCTGATGAGATACCCGCGCCTATACCAAACTGTAAGATGACAATGCAGAGTACAGGCTCTGTGTGCTTTCTGCTCAGGCTTTTGGCTTCTGTCCTTTTATTTCCGGTCTCTCAACAGTTCAGGTGTCACCGTCCTGGCCCTCTTTCTGTGAAGACAGTAGTTCAGGTCAGTTCAGACTGCAGGCATTTGGTTATGCCACTTCTGATTGGGAAAACCCACAAGTAAGGATTTAGAAAGGACTATATACTGTAGTGTAGTCCTCCGATTGGCCCTGCAAGTTCCTGCATCAGTGAGTGTCCAAACATGGCCCTGATAGCCTCAGTCATGTCCCTGCATTTAATCTTTCTTATCTTTTTGACCCTTCCCCTCCCTTAGCTGACAGACCTTGATACTTGTGTACTATTGCAAGAGCAGTCCCTTCCTCCACTCCTTCAGAAGCTCCCATGCTGAAATTCACTCAAACACGGATGCAAATTTAAAATAATTGGATTGAGGTAACAACGCTATTCCATCTTTACTTGAGCAATTCATATGCATTACAGTCTGTGTTGTAAACTACTTATTTATTAAGATGCTGTCACATTCTTTGCTTTATAACAGTTTGGCATATGTAGGGTTCATTTGTGTGGTTCATCCCCTCTGAAAGACTAACTGCCTTGTCTTTGTGGCCAAATAGGTTAAGAGGAAACATACCTGTAATCCAGATATTCCTCCCATTTTACACAGCTGGATGTGTGTAACTGTTTAATATTTTTCTCCCATTAACACAGACTTTGATAACTGTAGTTTTGTATTAATTTGTAAAACCATTCATCTGTATAATCGTAGCAGTTGTATTCTGCTTTGGCATGTGAAAAAAATCAACTGAGTTCAGTCTTTTGAGCTCCAGACGTCTAGCCAGGACATCATCCCTCCAACAACAAGTCAAAGACCTTTATTGTTAATACATCTGAATTATGTTTTCCGTTATTATAACTGTATTACTATTGTTATTTGATTAGATGTGGTATAATGTTTATTTGTTTTTCTTAATATCAGTCTTTTCTTCTCTTTATTATGATTCATGTGTCACATCTGTTATTTTGCATGAGTCAGCCAACTCTCAGACTTATTTGTCATTGTATCAAGAATACTCTACTGCTTTCACATCTAGATTGATTGGTCTAATAACATGTGAGAGTGAACGCTTATCCTCCACCCTACCTAACTAACTACAAATAGGGGTATTTAACACCCCTTTCTCAGTATACATTTTTATATCCTACCCTCCACACCATCCTCATCCCCACCCAAATGAAGTGAATGACTGAGTCTTTGACTCATTTTAACTAGCGAGGGGTTCTTACAGTAGGTAATCAATTCTTAGAGGTTCTTAGGTAATCAATGTTTTTAGGCCTGGCTGTTCCCTCAGCCAAGTAGATTAGAATTGGATCTGAGTCTTAAGTTGATCACACCTAAACTGCTTGTTACTAAGTTCAGTACAGAGTTATTGAAAATCATTTAGCTTGGAACACATTTTAATGATCCTGTTGGCACTTCAGTACTGAGAAATTGGTAGATTTCAGTCAAGTGGAAATGACCTGCCCATTGTTTTGATCAAATTGTTAAATTTCCACCATATCTTTGCATAATGCAGAGATACTAATCTCTGGTGTTGGAGAGCCACAATCAGGAGGTTTTACAGATATAAGAACATGCACAGTGACTAGGGACTTTGGAACAATGGTTATTTAAATCAGATAAAACAATAAATATCTCGATTACTTCCTTAATGGTTGAATGCAAACCAGAAGACTCTGCTGCTCACCCAGACCAAGGAATGCAAATTAAAATGAATTTTCTCATAGATTCAGGTGGCTTAATGTGAATGCTCTTTCTGTTTTTTAGGAATGGATGCCAAGAGCTCACCACGGAGGAGGGCGTATAGCACCAATCAGATAGTTGATTACAATCCAGTGAAAAGGGCCTTCACCCCGAGTGACCCAAGCTCTGCTGTGGTTAAGAACCCGCTGAGGAGAGCCATGATTCAGGAGCTCGTGGGGCAGCCCAGCCCTGACTACGGGGTCCAGTGGGCGGCAGATTTTCAAGTAAGAACCAAAATCGCCCACCTTCGTTTGCTGCCTGTGCTGTAGAACTGCACCTTCAAGTTTAAAATGCTCATGGGATGGTTAAAAGTAACGATACTGTATATTTTAGCGAGATTATTTTAGCATTTCTTACAAGACAACTGAAAGCACATTTAGGACAGAGTGTACATGTACAGATTTTTAGAATCTAAACCAAATTAATTCCATAAATTTCATACAAATGATATAATCAATGTCAATTCAAGAAATATATCACAATAATATATATTATTGTAACAAACATTTTGGTTTAATATGCTTTAATCAGAAGACCGAAACTTTATTGCATAGACATTCAAGGAGGTGAAGATCTGCTTAATAAACGTCTCCCACAGTAAGAAAATTGCATCTTTTCAAATGTGTGGATTTCTTAATGACTTCAATTTAACTGTCCCTTTGAGTTAAATCAAACTTCTCTTTGTATTGTTTTATGTGATTCATGCTTTGTAATGTTTGTATTCTTCTTTACTGTTTAAAAAAATTAACAACACTTTGGAAAAAAGCAAGGAAGATCTGAAACTCACTTTCACAGGATATTTTGCATACAGGATACACCTTTTCAGAAAAGGAAGTACGTGAGAATAATACATTGCTTAGTAAGAGCTAACACAAATGTTTATCTGAAAAAGATTAGTTAAATTTTGCTAGAGGCCATTGTCTTGAAAAATTAATATAGTGAGGAGGGGATGATATACATTAAAAAAGGTTTCACTTGTACTATATGTCACATATAAGATTCCTGCCTCACTGATCAATGAGTATCAATTCAATTTAGTCATCACAGGGGGCAGTGAATCAGAATTCATTAAAGGGCTTATTTGCAATTATGAGTAATGAAAATAACTGGCAAGTTCTTCCAGGATTCAACAACAGCAACATTGCTTAGTTCTTGAACTGCCTTTCAAATGAGCACCCCAAAGTGCTGTACAATTATGACCAATAACAGTTAAAACAAGTAAACAAGTGGTGATCGTGTTTTTGTTATAAGCTTAATTGAAAATAACGAGTCCAGAGTACAAAAAGACAGAGCATTCCTCAGTCATCATAGAAGGCATAGGAGCAATTCATAGACATAGATTCATAGACAATTAATTTAGACTGGCAGAGAAAAGCATAGGATTGTCAGTCTGTGGAAACATTATAAGAGCCAGGATGAGTCTTTGAGAAAAATGTCTTTAGTAAAATCAGAACATATGTAGCACTTGTCTATCTCCTTTATAGCACTGTATATCCGTAAACTTCATTCTGGACAATAAAGCAAAGAAAAACAAGAAATTACTGTACGTAATGCAACATCACTAAAATAAAGACCACATTTTAACAGGCCACCTGGGGTAGCTCAATTCAATAAGTTTGACATTCTCAGATTCCTTAGAATGGAACAGATTGATCCCAAATACCTCTAGATTATGTATTTTTAAAGACTATTATTTCTTTCTGAAGGAGGTTAGGAAATAACCTATGAAACGTGTCACTGTAAAAAATAATGAGGTGTAGAAACTGAGCTAGACTCTGACAGGTCTCGGAACATTAACCTATCCTAGAACATGCAGAAGGAAGATTATTTTTTCAGGCTTGCTAATGAAAGACGTGATTTGTTCATGGTTCTTGTGATTTATATAATTGCCGCTGACAGTTACACTAAGAGAGAGATGTTTGGCGTCCAAATTAACTATCGCTGCTTTTCAAAGCTCTAAAAGGTTTACAGTGGCAAAGATATTTGTTCAGGAAGGGGAAAAGGTATTTTTACTTCATGTAATGCTTTATGCTCATTATGTAAAATATCAAAAAATGGCAAGATTGAATTTTTAGCTTGATAAGGAATAAGTATGGTTTCAGTGACATTTATATTAAGATTATGAATCTTCTACTCCAAACATCATTCATGGATATTTTCCTGTATGCCATTTAATTTAGCAAATTAATCGACAGCAAAAAAAATACCTGAAATTGACATATTAACCAATACAGATGTTGGTTAATATACAATATTCAACAAGACAATATTAATATATTATATATAATATACAATATTCAACAAGACAAATGACCAACTGTTAAGAAATCATTTCCTATGATGTTGTTTACTTAGTACCATGGTTCCTATAATTGAAACCACTGTAATAAGTAATTTATGTGCTGGTGGACAGAATATAGTTAGCATGAAACCTGTGTAGGTCTGGGCATATTAAAGCCTCTTTAGTATCGTAATAGATACCTCAGTATGTACAGGTATGACGTTATAATAGTCTGGATAGTTGGAGAAAATGCATCCAAACACTGGGAAACCTGAGAGAAATTGTTAAATTAGTCTGCTTAAGCCAATAGCGAGTTTATTTAAGTCATTAAGAGCCAGGCTGGAATGACACACCGATCTTCCAGGACCAACAGGGTGTTCTCAAGCTCCAAGGGAGTTTAGAAAAAATGGCAGAAAGGGTAGGAGTGGGATAAAAGAGAACATCAAGACTTTTGGAAGTGTTGGAAGGATTCTGATTGAATTAAGAGAAACAGCAGAAGGAGGAGGAGAAGAAAGCAAGTCAAGTTTAGAAAGGATAGGTTTGAGGGCATACATCTGTCCCCTGGATGAAATGGCTGAGAAGCTACAGTATGTAAATATGGCCCCAAATCTCTCTTTACAGCTTAGAAATAACCAGCCGCATCAATAAAGCTAATTTTATTTTAAGTGGAAATCCTTCCATACTGGAAAATATCATTGGGAGGAAAAGTTAGCTGATTAAGAAATGCATCTTCATATTGGTGCACCCTGCTGTTAATGTAATAGGCTTTATTACAGCTCGAGTGACTGGCGTGAGTTTAATGGGAAATTTTGTAATTAATGTAAATGTCAGTAAGCACTTTGGAGAGCTGGGTGTGATCTGAATGATGATTCGTGTGCACATAGATAAGGATGTGCATTGCTACATTTCTGTTCTTGAAATTATTCTCAATAAATATCAAATTAAACTGATTTACAGGCATTCTGGGAAATCCCACAGGGGTATCTTAAAAGATATGTTGAAAAACTATTTGGCTTTTCATGATCTTTCACCTGCACAACTCATTAATATTCCCACTGAACCATTAGAAGTGTAAATACTAGAAATTCCTCTTAGAATTTCATGGTAATTCTGCTCACTAGAAAATTGTATTCTTATACAGTTGGGGTGATTCATATTGGAGTCACCAAAAACACATATTCATGAATATGAAATTGAAGGACTGGCCTTCTAAATATTCCTGAAGCGATTAAAAAAAATCTTTCTGTTCACTTTATTTGAAAATGAACTAAAGGTTTCGATATCATTTCCACCGTTCTAACATTTCTATCTATAACATCTCTATTCTGCCATTATGACAGGCCTACAGTACCTCTAACCAGGGGGCTCAAGAGACCTGGGCACACGGGGATCATGATGGAACATTTTTTTCCAAATCTTTCATTGTACATAACACACACCTACTCTACACAACCCAACATTGACTATCACCATGATTCCCTTCATAAACCAGACCAAGTCTAAATTCAACCCAGTTGCTCTCTGCCCTTCTCCAATGAACTAATTAATCAATTAATACACCACCCATGTTGACCTGCAATACGTGCAGGCCCTAACTATCTCAATAAGCAGGGCAGCTTAAACTAACATTCTTACTGCTGTCAAGAAAGAGTTCTTTCCGGGCCCTATGCAGACGACACAATCCGGGGTTGAGTGAGGAAACACTGGGAAAAAGTCATGCAGGATATGGGAATGAATATGGAGGGCGTGTCCAAAGTGCGCAGGTGGACAGGGGGGTGAGTCCGGGGCAAACAATCCAAACCACAGTCCAATGCAAAATCCAGAATGAGGGCAAAATGTCCAAAGCCGGGCGGTCCATCTGAGACTGACGGTTAAAAACGGGAACCAGGTCGGAAAGGGTAGGGGGAGCGGGAACAAGAACAGAAACTTAATACCATAACAGAGCCAGGAGCTTCCAGGTTCCGGGCTCGCACGATACGGGAATCAATGCAGTGCCCCGAACTGAGTGGGCGTCGGGCTTTTAAGGGGGGCTGGAAGGAGGCTGGAACAAGGGGCAGGTGCACAAAATCAGGTCAGAAGTGAAAGAGCCGGAGCGCCCTTAAGGCGGAGGGACTACAACCGTGACAACGACTGCTGGCCTGCCACCACCGTCTGTAGTTAGTTTTCCTTAGGAACACCAAGGTCCTCGTAGTGTGTCCAAGGTAGGCCTCATTGTTTTTAACCTCCTCAGCTGGTAAGCTTGTGTGCGTCATCAGCCAGATCCACCTCACTCCGGTCTTTGCTCCTGCCCCAACAGGAGGGTTTGGCCCAAGGCCAGGAGCAGGATCTGCCCCAGCTGGGTGCCAGCCTGAAGACGGTGGCCAAGACAATGGCTTTGGAAGACAGTTCGAGATCATCAACAGACAGCCCTTCTGTCAGCAGCACTGGAGACCCAGGCAAGAGGGTTATCTTTGCCTTTCAAGTACTGTTGTCATTTTTAAGTCTTTTTGTACTCTTACTAAATTGGCTCTCATTTTTGGAATCACAGGAATGAGGCGGTTAAGCACAGCTCTTGGGCATGACGTGACAGGATGGCTAGGTTAAGTGCTTTCCTTGGTTTCTCTAAATTGTTCCTATGGGCTTCTTTCCGAGTGCTTTGCAAAGAATTAATGTCCCTTCTGGGGTGTAATCCCAGGTTCTGCCCTATGTCTCTGGGATAGACTCCCAGTTTGCCTCAGTCCATACCAGGAATAAGCAGCTTTCTGATGAAGGATGAATGTGCAATCCTTACTAGCACTGGTGTTGGAGAGCTTTTTCCCCGCCTCCCCTTAAAAGACAGTCAGGAGTTTTTATTTCATGGGCATGGGAGCGAAACACACAGAGATGCTCAGTGTATTTTTCTCAAAGTAATTCAGCTAGAACAGTCCTTAAATATTTTTCTCCTACCTACAGTCCCACGCTTCCCTGTGCTTACAAGATTGGCAGTGTTCCAAAATCAGGCACGTCTTCCTACCTCCCTATTTGCTAAAGATAACTTATTTTAATACAGTTGGTTACTTAGGCTCATAGCACACAATCCTATATAATGGTATAGAATTACATAGTAGCCCCTGTGCCCAGCATTCTTCCAATCCATATAAAACCAGTTCTGAATGTCCACCTTAGAAAATATTGCATCTTCTGCCGGAAAAGTGTGTACAAAGTTCACAGAGACCCTCTCAACACTGGGAAACAGGAATATTCTCGCCTGGACTAAAGGAAACCTGTCAATTTCCATTACCAATCATCGACACAATAACGTTTTTTCGCGCAAGAGGATTTCTGTGTATCTTACCAACATAACACCGCCATCAGGTTTGAAATTGCAATTGAAGTAGCATAGTATTGTTACCACACTCCCTCAGTAGAGAACCTCCACCTTATTAGATAGATAGGTAAGACTTTCTTGATCCCGAAGGGAAATTGATCTGTTACAGCAGCCCGAGACAAGCAAAAAAAAAAACAGACATCAGGATGGACAAAAAATTAGAATACGTACAGTAATACAAAATAAACATAAAATAAAATAAATAAAAATAAATAAATACAAAGGTGTGTGCAAAATATGATCATAGCCACTGTAAAAACAATTAAATATGTGCATAGCTATATACAGATTGAGTGTCCAAAAAGTACAATGGAGCAACATGCTGTCCATAGAGGAGCAAATGGGCTAACAGTCCTAGCCTAGGGCAGCGTTATACACCCTGACAGCCGCCGGGAGGAAAGACCTGCGGAAACGTTCCCTTGAACGCAGTGTGTTGCTAAAAGTGCGCCGCTGCCCAATAATGGTCCCAACAGTTATCGTTCTCCTCACAGATGGCTACCCCCATCAGCTCTGTGAAATCGAAACGCCTCTGGAGGGGCCCTCCCTGGACCCTCTCCTGTTCCAGTCTGCCCCTGGCGGTCAGCCGGGGGGGCACTGCAAAGCCGTGATCTCAGGGCTGCTCTGCGGGAGGCCAGTTCGATGGGAAGTGGCCTTTGACATCGAGCCCTTCCTGAAAGGGAGGGAACGAGAGGAGAAGGTGCACGAGGACCTGTGGAACGAGACCTTCCACCACCTGGCGGGCCGCTCGATCATTCAAGACTTTGAACAAATGGCAGAGAAGGAGTGCGAGATCGAGCACGGTGAGGCAAACACAGCGCACGATGTGCAGAAATGTATTCAGTGAATGCATGCTCCTTATTTGTGCAAAAAGACAGATTTTATCCTATTCTAATATTTACACACTCATATATATATATATATTTGTGAAGGGGTTTGGGGAGCTGTATCACCGTGTGGTGATTGCAAAGTAAGAGAGCAGAGAATCATCTCATGTTGAACGTTCTTCAGGTTTAAGTATCTGAGCAACCACAGACCCCTGTCGTGCAAGCAGCTGTATTTTAAAACTTGCCCGTTGTAAAAGGCTTTTAACAAATAAATACGTTCATTTTTTTACCCGATATAGCAAACCAGAAACTCCAAAGTCCCAATTTACAGTATTTATTGTGAACGTTTCCACAAGGTACACAAGGTGGCAAGAGACTGGTCTTTTGCACTCCTGTCTGTTCTTGTGTTTCTCAAATCATTACTTTCTTCCTCACTGCACTCCTACATGTGAAGGAAGCATTTTCTTTTTTCCAAAGCAGTTCTGCAATTTTTTTTTAAAAAAAGCTTTTTAAAGAAAAATACCTTCAAGTTAAACTGACTGATCTTCATAGGCAACGGAGTAAATTCTCATTTACAGTAGCGGAGAGTGAAGTCTCTTTGTTTGCAGAAGCTGTTAGGTAAAATGGAATTTTCTTTTGTTTATTTTTAAGTTAAAAATGATTAATTATGATTGCAAGCGAAAGGTCTTACTTTTTTGTTTAAGTTTTTATAGATCCCTGGTTTATGCATTGATTGCAAAACGTACACTTCCGTTCTGTGATAAGATCTTAAGAATTTATTTTCTTTACTGTGTTTTCATCTACAAAGCTCCATGCAATTAAAAAAAAAAACTTGAATTGTGGTACACAAACCATTGAACATGATTGAAGATTTAAACCTGGAAGACATATAAGAAATAGTTGGCTCAGAAGAGATTGGCACATCAAAAAGTCACCGTATTATACTGTAGATTTACTATAGTAAACTTTGTAAGTCATCTTAAAAACGTTTGACAAGTACTTGGAGGGATAAATTAATATAATTATTAACAATTGACTAATTGATAGTTATAAAACCTTTAAAAGACCATTTTGTCATTTTGTCACAGGTTCGGGAAGGAGATACCAGCTCAATGCCATTCACACCAGCAAAGCCTGCAACATTCTGAGTAAATACACAGCATTTGTGCCCATTGATCTGGACAGTAACGAATACCTGCCCATCTTTATCGAGTACACCAGTCCAGGTAAAACCTAATTCAGATTAAAACTTACTTAATTAATGTTTTCGAAAACCTTGTGTTTTAACAAGATTTGCCCTGTTACTGACAGATCTCTTATATGATACAGTGTTTGGTCTTTGCAGAGCACAGTGAGGAGAGGACAGATATATTTTGTATAATGTCAGCACACGGTAACCTAGTCTAGACTGATAGGGGTCTACAGGTGACCATCACTGTCCTTTATGTACTAGTGTATAGTTTACCTTGCAAAAGTTTGGAATTATTTCCAGATATACGGATACAACATTTGCAGATAAACAAGTCACTGCAGCAAAGGAGAACAAGTTGATCAGTTTGGCCTTTTACTAGACTTGCATAAAAGCACAGAAGAAAAACACGAGCCTCCTGTGAACTGTGCACTCTTTTTGTCTTTGAATGACTGTGATTCTTCCTCCAGGAGACACATCAAAGCCAAGCAGCCAGCTGGGCTCTCGGTCCAACAGTCGGAGGAACCGGGGCTACTCCATCGGCCTGGGGCGGTCTCAGTCAGGCTGCATTTCGGAAGGTGGAGAGGACGGATTTTCAGCCATGAGTAAGGCTTCAGAATTCTTTCAGGAATTAATTTCTACCTGACCAACGGGGTCAAGCTTATAACACAGAACTCAGATACAATTCAAATCATGCCTGAAATGTCTTTTGAAGCCCTCAGTGCACAAAAGTCCATAACTACATCCCGTAGTGTAGAGGTAAAAGATGAACACTGATTAGTTGAATGTCCTGTTATCGGTATTATTTCCCCTTGTAAAGAACCGATTTCTCCACCAAATTTTGAAATCAATCATTGTCCTCCAATTCATAAAGCACCTTCCAGGTCAAGTATCTCAAGATAGGGGGGGTAGTGGGGGTTATTCATACAAAATAGACAATATGTCTTTATCATCCTTTAAAAGTCTTTTTTTTTATGTCATTCTGAGACTACCCTCAAGATAAGTACTGTGACAGGCCATGTAGTGTTACAAATTAAAAAAGTGTCAAGTCACCAACAAAAGTCAGTATGCAAACAGTAGGAGTACACACTGCAGTGCACTAATGGCTTGAGGAATTCAAAATGAACAGTTTCAAGTGAACATTACAGAGACATATTAGGGACATCGTGGATATAGCTATCGTATAGGAGGATTTTGCTGGTCTACAGAGATCTGCATGTGCTGACATACAGAAGACATGATGCATGGATGGATTAATACCCTCATTCATTCATTTCCTTTTTTAAATTATATAATGTCAGCATGAACAGAGGGGTTGGGCAGCCTGTTGACCTGTTGACCTTGGACCCCTAGAGGCTTTTCTCCTTACTAAGGAGTTTTTGGTTCGTCTCCTCCATTGTCTTCTGGTCTTCTGTTCAGGATTCACAAAATATCTGGTTACTTGCATTGTTAAGCGCCTTGGGGCAACCTTGTTGTGAAAGGCGCTATATAAAAATAAATTGAATTGAATTGACATATAACACAGACACAGCGCCACATCTGGAATTAAACAGTAGAAAGTGCACACCATTTTCACACCACAATAACAGCATTCTGCAAAACAACCTACTGTACACTTTACTCCCAGTGTTCAGTGTCCTAAAATCCTGGGAATTACATTCCCTGTTAGACTTCTCCTTAAGTGTTTCTCAGTGATGTTAACAAAATACGTGATCGCATTGAGACCAGAATAAAATATCCATCTGTTTGTTTTCTAACTACTTTGTCCAATAATGGTCACTGGGGAGTCAGATCCTATCCCAGCAATCAACAGGTGTAAGGCAGGGTACACCCTGGGCTGGGGGTCATTCCAATCCAGGGTGCACACAGAGAAACACACACCAGTAACAGAATCAGAATCGTTTTTATTCGCCAGTAAGTCAGGTACAGGAATTTGCCATTTGGATGTATGTTTGGAACCTGCTCAACACAAAACCCACACAGGTGCAAAAGGAGCATTATAATTACTGACATAATTACATTGGACAATATACAAAAGATGGGGAGACACAAAAACAGAGTCACAAACTGTGCTCACGGTACAGTGCAGATGTGCGGAATCTGTAGACATTACAGTATCTATAAGACACAAGTACATTCACATATTACAATTCAGTGCAAATGTGCAAACAATAGACATTATAGTATATGCAAGACACATGGCAAGTTCAGATCATGTGTGAAAGTAGGTCTGTGGGGAAAGGTGCTAACCACTGTACCAATGTGCAGCTCTCCATTTTATATGAACAATTTTAAACAATGGCATGAGCTGGAGTGCGAACAAATTTTGATTTACTTGAATAAAACGATGAGGATCAAGAAATATAAAAACTGACCATGATATTAATTTCAGAAAAATCACTCGAACTTGGTTCTTTTTCACAGTCTGGTGCTGTGTAATGGATTGTCTATGTAATACAGTACATAACACAACCTTGCAATATGTAATGTAGCCATAGGCGATGCGGTAGCTCAGTGGTCAGCATTGCTGCCTTGCAGCGCTGGGGCCCTGGGCTTAATTCTGGACCTGGGGTGCTGTCTGTGTGGAGTTTGTAATTTTCTTCCCGTGTTTGCGTAGGTTTTCCTTCAGATGCTCAAGTTTCCTGCCACAGTCCAAAGACATGCTGGTAATTTAATTGGCTTCTGGAATAATTGGCCCTGGTGTGGTCTGTGTCTAAGTGTGCCCTTCATGGACTGGTGTCCCATCCGAGGTGTGTCCTGTCTTGTGCCTGTTGCTTACCAGGATAGGCTCTGGCTCTTCCTTGACCCTAAATTGGTTAAAGTGGTTAGAAAATGGATGGATGTAATATATGCTTCTAATACATCCTTGTATGCGATATATTCTTGTGATGCATTCTACAGAATCTGTAATACAGTATATCCCCGTAATTAGCATGTTTTCCACTTCTCTTCAGGTGTATTTGCATACACTACATTATTGCGAGAGAAATCCTTTCCAGGTCCCGTGGTTCATGATATGACTTGTGCCAGAATAACACTGAGGATGTTCTATTTTTACTGAGAGGATGAAACAAAAGGAAATTAAATTATTTTTCTCTGCCAAGCAGACTCTGTCTCCGAGTTGTTGAAAGGGAGAAAAGCTGACGAACCTTCTGTTACAGTATGTCCATCAATCTTTCTCTGTTTGTTTTATTGTAGACATTGAAGACGGCGTGTCTCCCTGTAGCACTCCTTCATCGTCAGGCTGGGATAGGTGCAGTTTTGTTGAAGGTAGACACATTAACCTGTAATTCATTTTTTGGGGTTTGCTTGTTTTCTCAAAATGCTTTCCAGGGACAGGTAACATACATGGAGCCAGCAATCTTCAGAATCTCTCCCTGCACATCTTGGGATAAGCATTTACACAATGAGTCATTTCAATATTGTAATTTCAAGGAAAAACATTTCCTGTTTCAGTAATTTTATTTGTCTTTCAAACAGGCAATTTATTAAGAAATAGAAGCAATTTGGTTGTGACTTCAGCAGCACTGCCACTACCTCCTCTATTGCTTATTATTCATGACTTGATAGAGGAACATGAGGAAGATTACAAATGAGAAGGGGTCACTCAACCCTATTGTCTCAAAAGGTGGCTAGCAGCTCATTAATCCAAGGATGTTGTTAAACTGTCCTTCAACAACATGGCTGGACAGCCAACCCTTTGTGTAAAAAAGAGCTTACAAATACACTTCTGCATCATTTCCTCTTTAGCTCTCTGGTTTGTGTTTCACTGTTGAAGGTCTAGTGAAACCACAAAACACATTCCCTTTGGGCACTAATATTGAAAAAATAAGAACCCCTAACTACTGTACAAACATAAAACTAAAAAAAAATAAACCCTAGTACTATTATTCTACACGACATGAATTATTCAACCTGCTGCTTCTGATGATTTCATTGGCCTTCTCTTTCTCAGAAGACAAGCAAAATTTGACACAAAAACAGCTGTTGCAGGTAAATAGAAGACAAAATGCCATTTAAAACAGTTATTCTGGGCGGCCAATGGCAGAAACAGTTTTCTTGTCAAGTTTGGCACACCAGGCATCTCTCCTTGCAAACAAGTCCCTTGGTTTTTCCATTAAGCATTCTGAACTGCTGAATCGAGCTGTTCGTCTAGATCCTAGATTACAAAACACAAAGGGAAGCTACTTACAGTGGCTATAGAAACATACGCTTTCACAAATAACACATTCTGTGGCCTAACGGCCTGAAATCAAGACATACATTCAGAATTTATTCTGCCTTTAATTCACAGTAAACATTGTAACAAATGGCCTCACACATTCTGAAAAGCAATAAATGAAAACCTAGAAAAGTGCTTTGGATCAGTGTACACTCTCCTTAGTAATAGTAGTTGCAAATTAGCTCTGGTGTAAACCAGCTATTAGGCCACAAAATGTGTTACTTTGGAAAGGGTGTTTAGACTTTCTATAGGCACTGTATATACGTACAGTATGAAGTAAAATTAGATTTATACTATTCTGGGTATCTGCATAATTGATCTAAATCACCCAAAATATTCTATTTTTTAAATATCCAAACAACTTCAGGTCAAATTTGAAAGACATTATACAACACCTGCTACACAGCAATTAGTAATGTCTTTGTGCAACAGCACTTTGTAGCCAGACGTTGTCAGATCTGAGAAAGTGAGTATCCAGAAGAAGGATTGCAGATCTCTGAACATGTGGGCGCCCATATGGAACACGTTATTACTGTATCTCCCTCTCAGAGAAAATTGTTGTAAAAAGGCAAGAAACGGTTATAAATCTTGTTTGAATGTATTTGATTTCTTTCAATGTGTGTGTCCCATCTTCTGTATGAAATGTATGTAGTGAAACTAATAACCACCCAGGGACTATACAGCAAAATATAATCAGTTATAAGTGATTAATGGTAATTTATCAGTATGTAAAACTTAATTAAATGAAAATAGAAAAATGTATTATCTGCAACAAATATCCAATTTACAAAAAAAATTCCAGCCATTAAAAGAACAGATGTTAGACACAGAAGCTGGGTTAAAAGAGCAGGCTAAATATGACGTACAATAATACAATTAACACAGCTGTGTTCACTGCAATTGTATTTCATAGCTTGTAATCTGCATCTCGGATGTCTCCAGTTTTAATTGCTGGAGACTTTTTGAAATTTGTTCACAGTTTTCTGTTACAGATGCACGTATCACAATATTTTTGACTCGGGAATGTGTTTAGGTAACGTCTTATCCAAACACTAATCAATTGTCAAGCTTTTCAGTGTGCAGATGGAATATAACTCTGTCTTCCACTCTTCTAGAGTTTACTGGAAAAAAAAAATAACCATAAAGCATAAAGCAATGAAACTTTATCTCACTGTAGTAAAACCATTCTTTTGGTAATATTTTCCGAAAAGCACTCTTTTATTCCTGGAGGTGTTCCGATGCAAAACTGAGTGCAATCTTTTATAAAAAAACAATAAGAAACAAGGAACACTTTGTATTTTGTAGTCAATTGTATTCCTACCAGACAGTGTCTTGACAGTATTTAAAGCAATTGCCTTAATAATGTCCCAGCTCCAAAAAAATCTGATTATATTTGGAAAATGTTATGTACAGGTAAGTATACATGTAATGCCAAACTTAAAAACGCATCCCAATAGATGAAGATAATGTTCAACTTCCAGGCTAAGCTTGTTGGCACCATGTCCATACATTTCTGTGTTGGTTTTCTGTATAAGTCCATTGGAAACATACTCTTGGATAGAAAAACCTAGATCCACATACGTTTCACCAATGTAAAAGCATACAAAAACCAACCACGTTATGCGTAAATTGATATGCAAACTACCTACTATGGAAGAAACACTTTACTGCAAAAAGCAATATTTGATATTTTGGATCAATAACGAAACCTTTCTTTCAGTTCCACAGAGAAGCCCCTCAGTGTCTTCTGTCCATTCCCAGCGATCTGCAGAGAGCCTGTTTTCTGCCAGGTAAGAGGCCAAAATGGACTGAAGAAGCAGTTTGTCCACCTAGAAACTCTCCAGAAGTGTTGATCAGTATTACACTCATAATTATGATTCGGGAAAGGAAAGGCTTCTTGTTACGTTGAGGGTCATGGTGGGGTTGAGGTATAAACTCAGTTGTTCTCAGGTTTTTCTTGAGAGATAGGCACCCTTGCAGAGGCCCTCCTGTTTTAGATTTTGTTTAGAAGTATGAGTTATTGCATGGGAGAAACCTGGTTTAAATAGCCATTTTTTAATTCCAGTTTGAAGTTTTTAAACCAGATTATACAATATCTACTTTTCACATTTACACCAGTGCAGTTATTGATTGGTTTGTTGGAGTTACTGTCTGAGTTGGCTAAACCCCTTCAGGGCTCCCCAAACAGTTTTAGTCGATCCCCTCTACATTAAAAATACTGCCCAGTCTTACATTTCTTTGTTCGTCTCTGAAATCCTTTACTAATCCACACATTAATTAGGCACTGGAGCATACACCTGATGCACTCTGTGTTGCCCAGTCACTCGGTATCCTTCCCTAATCACAAGAACCATCATTCACTATTCCACCTTCAGTTATACGGGCTGATCCTGTTGGGCCAGGGATGCAGCACTAGCTTCATGACTCACACCCCTGACACAGCTTCAGCAATTTTGTTAATCACTCTCTCCCACTCATAGTGCACGCTTGTCTTCTAATAGCTCAGGCCTACTCAGCATTCCCTCTGTACATCCCATAGCGGAGAACGAAGATGGTACACTGCTACCTTGCACTGCAGCCAGATACATCCCTACCCTTCTAGGTGTCAACACCCATCAACCCTGCTTCAGTGTTCCTTAGAAAACTAACTACACAGCCCACCTGTCCAGCACCTGTGGTGCCCACCATTACAACCTAAACTGCATTTTCTCATTTTCTCGTTTTGAGTTTCCACAGGCCCATAAGTTAACCTGTTACCCAGCACTCCTTTTGTGGTTTTGACTCCCTCTTCCTCCCATGCTAGAGCCCAAACACAGACTGAACTCCTTTTCCTCTGGGCTGGTCTTATACATCTTCCTATTAGCTCGGGGGAGTGGCCAATTCCACACAGAACCTCTCCTATCTGCTCCTCTCCCTCATTTGGAATCTCATTCCCCTTGGGTGCTTTTATTTAATTACACCAGATGTGTCTCATTTTACCCTGTTTTTGTTTTCCCTCCTTAATAGGTGTCTTTCTCCTAAAGCCACCTCTCACTACCTCACGTCACTGCCATACGATGAGTGAAGGCTAATAAATTGAAGCCTGTGCTTCATTTTATTTTCCTTTCTGATTTTATTAACGCTCACTTTTTGAATTATGATCAAATTTGGCTGGGTTGAAGTACCTAATTTTCACACTTAAGTCAACTGGTGAAGTACATTTGCAGTTTTACACCTGATAAGTGTGGTGGCGTTTGTGGTTCACAGGTGCTGTGGAGGTGAGAACTGCTTTCAGCATGAATGTGTATGAGTATGTGAAGCATTATTATTATGAGTAGGAGTAGTAGTATATAATTCCTTACACGTATATATGGTTATAAAAATGTCAATTTCAGTACTTTCTCTCTGGAACCCATAACTCTTTTTGGTTATCCAAAAAGATTTGGCTATCTGTTTGGGCAATTTGAGCTCCTCAATGAAGCCTGTAGCACTCCTTCTATTGTGAAGGTTTAATCCCCTATTTTTCCAAGACAAGACAACAGGCTGTGAGAGATTGAAGAAAATCTTTCGAGGTCCCTTCTCTGATAAAATAACAAAAACACAATACATCAGAGGACAGGGGGCACGTAAAGAGCTGAATGCATGCAATTATTTTTACCTTCAATTGAGTTTGAGCCCAGTTGAGTGGCCACAAAGATTGTGATTGCAATTTGGGATGATGATCCAGGAGTGCAGGAGTGATGTACTGTATATGGGTTCCTTATGTTTAGAACTGGCACACACAATGCACTGTTACACCCATAAGGCAAAAGTTAAAAGAACTATGTTCATGTGACAAGCTCCACTTAATCCAGAGGCTAATTTGCTGATAAAATTCAGCATTAATTGTGCAGAGGCGTTGTCTTTATTATTTTGTATTTTGTTTTCGATGCATTAAAATTGATGACCGAAGAGAAGACCAATAGTTATGCCTGCCGCAAGAAAAAGCAATGCCACTCAGATTTTAACTAACCTGCCACACGTTGTTCTATCATTCAAAGGAGAACTTATTTTCACAGGTTCTTGAGAGTGGCAGAGTTTCAAAATGAATTTGAAATAGAAATGCAATGAAAACAATTCAATAATGAACTCCAATGTGCATATAACTAAAACCACAAAAAATAAGGTTGTCTATATGTAGACTTTCCTTTAGATATGTAATGGTTTCTTGATCACATCAAACTCTTCTGTGCCTTTTTAATTAAGTGCATATAAAATCCATGTGACGCAGCTAGGATTCAGGATTCCATAGTGGGATCTCTAGAGCAGGTGGACCCAGGAAAACAAATATATAAACGCAGTCATTATGTTTGGAATACGCGATGCTTTATAAACAATTTGGAAAAACAAAACCTTGTCTCCACTTTGAGCTACAAACTGACTTCTTCGGTGCCCCACACTATACACAGAAGGCAGCTAATCTGCTTACTGGTTTTCACACTTTATCTCTACACTCTTCTCTCTTCTTAACCAATATCTTTCAAAAACCAAGTCTATCTTTGAGACTTCAGACCAATCCTGGAAGCCAGCTATTCCTGTTTTTTTAAACTGCCACCTGACCAATTGCCTTCTCACAACTGGTCAGGTGACCCCACTGCATTCCCACAGCATTGTGGGGAATGTGGTTCAGACATGAATTTCCTTCTTGTCTAAGCCAATTGCCCTCTTACACCCTTCTTATACCAAGTACTGTTAGAGATGAATCCTTCCTAAGAAGAATTAAAAAATGTCTATAAAAATTGCCTCCAAGCTCTTTATCCTTCAGTACAAAGATTTCAGCCCAAGAGGCACGAAAATTTTGTAAAGCCTACTTCTGTGACACCCACTTGCTAAAAGAAATGCTATAAAATTATTGCCAGCCTACAGTAATCTCTGCCGAATGAGTCTAGTTAGTAAAGGGCCAATTTAAGTGCAGCCCACACAAATCAATTTGATTTAAAGGGAGGTCCAGCAGAGAAAATTAAAGATGTAGAGACAGAGTGAAATGAAACCAAAAGAATTGTATTGCAAAATTTGGCAACACTCAAGTAACAGAAATCAGTAATCACCGAGTCTTACTTAACCAGATTCTTAACTGAAACCTGGACATATCTAATCTTCAGTTCTAAACAGTCTTTTAAAATAATTAATAATAAAATCAATGCCCTTCCAAAGCATTTAACAGCAAAATAACTCCTTTAACCAGTCAGTAAGGGCCCAGTGCCTATAATAATAATAATTAATTGCTTACACTTATATAGCGCTTTTCTGGACACTCCACTCAAAGCGCTGTACAGGTAATGGGGACTCCCCTCCACCACCACCAATGTGCAGCATCCACCTATAAGGTGGTGATACAATTAAAGCTGCTAAATGAAATTGAAATTCAACACTAGGGTTCTTTAATATTTATTAATTGGCACACAAATGAAGGGACTGAATGCCATATCATTCTTAAAACTGTTGGGGGCAGTTCAAGTATGATAGGTAAAGCTAAAGTAAGCCTAAGATGCTCAGTATGTCTTATGAGCTTAATAAAAGCTGAAATGCATCTTGTTTGATGTGTTTGCTCAGTTGGAACACTCCATGCTGCTCCAAACACCTATACTGTATATTCAGTTCAACCAGACACGAAGATGTAACCTATGTTAGGTTGTAAGATCATAACACATATCATCAGTGTAATATGCTTTATCATCCTGTTGTCCTTCTAGGCTTAGGTTTTCCCTCAGGTGATTAAGAGATTCTACCAATGTATTCTCAGTCCATCCATCTATTTTCAACTCCAGATACTGTAGCACCCAAGGACCTAAGTTGTACCCAGTGCCCCAGTGCTGCAGAACAGCATTGTTAGCCACAAGTGCCACCATGCCTCCCCAAGTCTTTACTGAAACATTATTATCTTAGAGTTTTTACCAGATCGAAACAAACTTCATGTAAGCATTGAATACAGAGAAAACATACCTAAAATGCTAAACAATCTTCCAGAAAAAGGCAAAACAAAACACCAACGTATATTGAACACAGTTGATTCAAGAGAATTCTGTAGTGTTGTTCATGTAGCCAGCAGCCCAGTCTGGACAGTAGCTTTTCTACGTTGTTAAGAGGTTTGACTCAAGTTTAATCTTGTTTTTTTCTTCAAACTTCTATCATGAGAGCTAAGCCTCTCCATTTTCTCAGTCCGTTTTTTTCACACTGCATTCATCACACACAGTGTGACGTGATAATTAAACTCTTCACTAATTGATTTCCACCCTCTTTACACTTATAACAAAATAACTCATTGTTTTTTTGATCATTTGAATATCTCCAGGCATCCTGTAAGCTCTATTGCATGTTGCATCAAGACTTATCTTTCATAAAAAGGTGTGCCCAAAATACCAGAAATAACCCAAGAACTGGATTATTAAATCAAATTCTGAGCATACTCTTTTCAGTTGATTATATTATTTTGTAGTATTCTTGATTTGATTGATTTGAACAAAATTGTGGTATTATTTAATCAAAGTACTAGAATTATGTTCCTTAATTGACAATTTCTTTTCAATTTTCCAGCTCCTGAGCAAAGAATTAGCTCATGTCCCTTGTCTATATACACTCCAGTACAATTCGTTAGTCTCATGACAACTCCCTATGCAGAGGCCTAAATTTCTTAATGAGCAGAGTGCGTCTTTGTCAGCAAGATAAAAAAAATAAATGAATTAGTGGAAACGAAGGTAGATTTAATAGTCCTCCTTTTATTTTTGGAAAGCTCAAAATATTTCTCCTCTGCGTTTGTTAAAGCTGTATCTGACTGGCTTTACCACACAGACTTCTTAAGTGTCTATGAGACCTCTCTATTTTTCAGCACTACATTATCTCTGTGTTCCTTTGTCTCCTTTCTATTCAGTTACCTTTGAGTTGGATGTAATAGCTCTTTCTCCTTATTTTTTAAATGCTTCCAATATTCTCTGTAATGCCGCAGTCAGAGATAATACATGAGTTTTAATTCTCTTACCATCAAAAGACTAACAACGCACAGCCAGACACTCCATTCAATTGCACAGAAAAGCCCTGCGCTGTCATCCAGGGAAAGTGTAACACAATTTATATGCCAATAAAATTCGTATGAACAACCAACATTCCATTAGCCCTCTAGTCACTGAGGGAGACCTGTCAAAACATACGCCTCTTTATTCTAATGGAGAAGACAGGGTTATTAAAGTAAATCTTGTTTTAATATAAAAAATATGCAAAACACCATATAAGGTGTGCAAAATAAGCCATTACTACATCTCGATACTCAATGCAAAATCACTGGAAACTATGGAGTATTACAGCTGACACCCCATTTTAGTGCAAAGGCTTTCTGCACTGCACATGAAATATCCATTTCCATTGCTTTCCCATTTTCAGACATAATTCCTAATTCCATGGGTTTATCGAACACATTAGGTTTATTGAACACTTAATTCAAACCATTTCTTTACCATTTGTAACGGTTTTCACAGTCAATACATGAGCTACAGACAGTCAAAACACGATCAGCACACGATCTACAGACAATTAGAAATAACATTGTGTCAAACACTCCTGAAGGAATCACTCTTTTTTGCATGCACACCATATGCTTTTATTTCAGATACCTGGCCATTAAACCTCTTAAATGAAGGAAGACTGACCAGCCTCTTTGATTTAATTCTAGTTCTGGTAGAGTGCTGGTAATAATTTCTAATCCAATCCTTTTTCCACTGCAGACAGTGAAAGAAAGGTCTTTCTTGAGCAAACATTTCAGATCGAGGGATCTGTAAGCCGGTGTGGTCAGGAGCTCAGTTGGAATGGAAGCAGGAAACAGTGTAGGTAGGGTGAGGGTTACTGTAAGAAGAGCAAGATGTCAGTGTTATAACTCCTGAAAATGTCAAGGTTCGCCTGCTATCTCGATAACCCTGAGCTCTTGTGTCTTTCTGTTAATTACTTTTCCAGGCTCAGCCTCAGCAGGACCCGACTGCTGACAAAGGCTGCTCGGGGATTCATGTGCCGCTCGCCAAGCAAGACCAGCGAGTCCGTCAGCGAGTCAGAGAGCGAAAATAACGACTACATCCCACTGGTTGGTGTCTCCACACCTGGGACCTCTAAGCTAGGTCTTATGTGGAGAACCGGCATGTCCTCTGGTTTTCCTTTCCGATGATCTATTGCCATAATTACCGAGACACTGGATTTAAACCCTTAAAGGGGGAACTGCAGTCCCGATTCCCGGTTCTTAAATCTCGGTAACAAATTAAACTCCTTGACGTTATCGGAAAAAAATGAACACGTTTCGAATGAAGCACAAAATTGTGAACTTTGCGAAAGTACTGTAAGTCGCCAAGTTGTCGCAAACTTGCATTCGAACTCCCACGAATTTGCGACGTGAAGCCGCCCTTCCTGCTCACTAGTCACTGTAATGACTATTGTCATAGTCAATACCTGCAAATCAATACAAGCGAATAAGTACAGGTTTCACTGCATTTCACAGTGCCAAGAGTTTTTTTCCCAGGCTGGACCCCATTAGATGGAGTAAGTCCAGCCTGGATGGCACGGTGCACAGTGGCGCAGTTTTCTTTTTGCCTTTTTTGCGTTTTTTTTTTCCAGTTTTTGCTCAACTTCTATGAGTGCTCACCACGGCTCCTCCGACTCCCACATTGTTACTACAAGTTACTGTGTACATTTGACTTTTATTGTGGTTTGAAATGCACTCATCAATGCTGATTCTTTCTAGCCCCGAGATATCAAAATAGTGTTGCAGTTCCCCTTTATTGGCGGAGACATTTATGTCAAATAGGTCTTCCTTAGTGGTCTCAATTCTTATACACATCCAGAGGACATTTTGGTTCTCCAAGACTATGAATATAGAGGACTCTGCTTTTAAAGATGAAAGCAAGCTATCATGCTATGGTTGCATAAGGAAAGGAAGATGCCTGGGTATCTCAAATTCATCTCAAATTGAAAAATGAAATGTAACAGAACTCCCTATAGAATAGGAACTCTTGGCTATGGTTAAAAAATGGCAGTGAACTGAAACTATGCTTAATGGGTTCTATGAATACTCTGCAAAGAGCAAAAAGAGAAGAAACTGAACGTTATTTAGCACCCGTTTCTCAATTGTTGAACACCCAGTGTCCGGATTTTTATTTCCACATATTTTGTTTCCATTTGCCAGGTTCTCAGCTAATCAGTGCAGCTTGTTGTTACAACTCTTATATCAGATGAACAGGCGCACAACCCCCAGAAATGTGCGTGTTGAGGCCATCTGTTTTTTCATGCTGCAAGCCCACAAATCAAAAGGGAGCAGAGGAGTCATTTCTGATATCCGTATGGCATGAACTAACACAAGGGTTAGTAGGATAGCTGTCCAGTCACGTTGCAATGTCTGAAAAAACTGTGCAATGGTCCGTGGTTAACGATGTTGTTATTGAACAACCTAACTTGTCCCACAAGTATTCAATGGATTTCTTATTGACCCATCTAACCAAAAGCAATGTCTTGTAACCCTGTCTGTATGAGAGTGAGCGTTAGTGTATTGGAAAATGAGCTATTTGCATCTGTTGGACTAACAATAGGAAGAGGACTGATTGCTAAACATTGTCCACATAGCATGGGGTATTGAGTTTACCCTGTACAATACGTTAATAAGGAACAGATAGCTTGAAGAATTCGGTTTCTTCTCTTTTTCTTTCAGCATGGAATAAAAGTTTACCAGTTCCTTTGCAGCCTACACATGCTGATGCAGCTCCCTCCTCAAACTTTTCCAGTACTTTAATAACTGATTGGAGCTGCACATTAAATACATCCCACTCTGTCCCCCCTCCTTCACCAAACCTGTCTTGTTCAACAAAAACATAAGGGAAGCAGAACAGGGTAATGAGACGCAGGAAAAAAAGGACAGAACACAAAACAGATTCGTTCTGTTTGTTAAATTGAATAACAAAAATGTTCGATGAAAGAATGCACATTATAGAATAACTCAAAAGGTTTGAAGGCTAGTATAAAAACACATTAAAAAGTCAAAGAGAAAGATATAACATTATTGTAACGGAGATGAAAACAAATGGTTATTTTGTGAGTGATACAACATGCTAAAGAGCAAATAGAAGATGAAATAATCTCACAAACATTGATGAGAAACCTGTAGACTGTAAGATTGTAGACTGAAAGAAAAATTTCTAGTAAATAAATATATTGGTCCTGTGGCTCTGTGGCTCAGGATCTGTGCCTGTGGCTGGAAGGTTGCCGGTTTGTATCCCATGGCTGGTAGAGGAATCCTACTCCGTTGGGCCCCTGAGCAAGGCCCTTAACCCCAACTGCTCCAGGGGCGCCGTATAAATGGCCGACCCTGCACTCTGACCCCCAGCTTCTCTCTCCCTGTCTGTGTGTCTCATGGAGAGCAAGCTGGGGTATGCGGAAGGACAAATTCCTAAAACAAGAAATTTTATATGGCCAATAAAGTGATCTTATCTTATCTGTTAAGAAAGAAATTGACAACATGCCTTAGGCTGTCAGTGTAAAATTTGTGTTTTTTAGCTACAGCTGTATTATTGACTGTAATTCTAATTTCTGTTGCATCTAAAAAGCAAAAGAGAATGTTTCATACACAAATAGGCAGCAGACTTGTACAGAAGCAACTTCTTGTCATTAATCTGTCATGTAGTGCCCCCAAGCAGAATTTACTCGGTGAATCTGACAGAAGGTACATATTTTAAAAGATGGAGCAACTACTGTATAAATATGAATAATACATGTAGATCCACGTTTACTAGTAAATATGAATATTAACAAGATGGGCAATTTTATAGAGAAAATTGTGCAGGCAAAACCCCGCAGAACAAGCCTTCTGTTGTGGTTTTTAGAAAGATTAATAGATTTCAAGGGGCTGCTTGGTATGCAGGTCGAGTGAATGAAGCTGTCAAGCCAGCTTGAAACCATTTCAGTAAAATTAACTGTGATTAGCAACACAGCAAATTCCAAGGTGCCTGAATGAAGAGTTGACATTCTTATTTATAGACAAAAAGTTACACAAGCTATGAATCTACTTTCCTTTTTAAATGACAGAACAATATTTTAATTCATTACTTAATTTTGGTCAGGTGGACTAAGTATTGTGTTTGTCTTAAAGATCAGATCACTTTATTAGTCCTATACAATTTCTTGCATTAGGAATTTGTCTTTTCGCATACCCCAGCTTGCTCTCCATGAGACAGACAGACAGAGAGAGAAGCTTGGGGTCAGAGCGCAGGGTCAGTCATTTATACAGCACTCCTGGAGCAGCTGGGGTTAAGGGCCTTGCTCAGGGGCCCAACGGAGGAGGATTCCTCTGCCAGCAGCAGGATTTGAACCAGCAACATTCCAGCCACAGATCCTTAGCCACAGAGCCACCACTGCTCCTCTATATAAAAGATATAGACCTGTCATAAAAGTCAGTAGTGCATAATCAACTGTCTGGCTATCATTTTGCAATTGATTTTTTTCTAAATCCTTATTTTAAGTTTCATCCTGTAAGTTGCAAAAATAAGGTGGTGTTTGTGAAAAACATTTTGTGGCGAAGTATTTGTAACACTTAAAGTGATGCCAATTTGTTAGGCATTCTGGAAATTGAAGTTGAGCATGTCCTTGAAACAGGAAATGCAGCAACAGTATTTTCTGAGTGTCCAAGTGCTGTATGATCATATTCGAAATTACTGGTTATCTCACTGTTTTTTTATTTTTGTAAAGGTACTGTACATCTTTACCAGTTAAAGTGGAAATGGAATTTATAGAACTATCAAGATCTCATCGGAATAGTAGAATTTCTTTCTCCTGCCCTTCCCCTTGCCACAGTCTGTGGTCCTGGCGAGACAGAGCAGGTCGTTGTTGAAGAACAAGCTAATGATTACACACATGGTAGGCTATATGCGTCAGCTACCACAAAGATCTATTGCTCTCAGGTGTCACAACAGTTATTTAATCAAATTCCTTCTTGCTTAGTATATCATATTAAGACTGACACCAATGACCATAAATTGTGAAAGGATGTATTGGACAGATTTATAACAGAAAGTCTCTAAAGCAACCTCCCCAGACACCATCTATCCATTGCTATATGGAATTATAAATGTATTATTTGCCCACGGTGCCTTCAAATAAGTTAATAAATGCAATTGCGTCTTAGAGTGATGTTTGTATCAAAAATGCAGATGTGAAATTTACCTGGGAATGGTAAATGGTAAACACCCAGGGAATTCACTTTTCTCTCTTCTTACTTCTTGCAGAAGATTCAGGAGGATAAAAGCTCGGACCTCTAGGTTCAAAGAAAGCTTCTACCCCACAAGTGTCCTAAACTCCACCACTTAAATCCTGCCCCCACTTACACCTGTCAGGTTTTGCACTGAACTCAAAATACTGCCACTGCTGAATTTCACTGCCGTCTAAATGCTGGTTAAAATGAGAGCTGCTACCCTGTTCCTGCCTCCAAGAATTGTGATGTCATTTTCTAGGTCAATGTTATATCATCATTTCTGTCCTTTTTATCACATGAGGAGAACACGCAAGTAAGCATTTCATTGTTAAGATGTGTAGTTGTGGACCCTATGCAGACGGTATAATCTGGAAGTAGGTGGCAAAAGACAACGGGGAGGAGACGAGGATCAGGGCAGGTTGACAAACATGGGATGTGACGAAGGTGAACTGGTGCTTGGGGGGCTTGATCAAGGCAGATAAGTCTGAGGGAGCCCAGGGGGGAAATCCGGGGCGAAGTCCAGGAGTCCAAAACCGGGAAATCCAGACGAGACGAAAACAAGACACAGTTAAAAACCGGAACGGGGTCCGGTGCAGGGAGAGGGAATAAAAATGGGGATAACGAGACCAGGTGCTCTGAGCCACAGACTCAGCCGGGTTGGGACGCCAATAGGGGGCCTCTGCCCTCAAGCCACGGGCGTAGGGCGACTTGGTGGTAGGCGGGCCTCCGGCGTCCTTCTTCCAATGCAGAGCCGGGAGTAGCAAGAGCACCCGTCTTAAATAAGGCGGGGCAGGATTGAGGGCGGGTGCACATGATCAACTAAAATGTGAAAGAGCCAGAGCGCCCTTAAGAGGAGGGATTACAACCGTGGCATTCATTGTACAACAAACCTGAACTTGAACTGCAGAGGGTGGAATTCAAAGCCATTATTATTTTGTTTTCCTCGGTAGGTGTCCTTACAGCTAGCGTGTGGTGCGTTTGTCCTGAGCAGTGCTTTCTCCGAGGCCATCAACATCCCCATGGAGAAGCTCAAATGGACCTCTCCGTTCGCCAGCCACCGGCAGAGCGCCTCCCACATGTCGCATGCCGGCAGCAGGAAGACGGAGGCCCCGGAAAATGGCATGAAAACGGGCTCCCCATCGGAGGCTTCCCCAAAAGACGGGGCACCGCGAGATCCCTGCGGCTACCAGCCCGACGAGCTCGGCGCTGGCCTGAGCCCTTCTGCTTTTTCAGGCGGTCTGGCAGGAAACCGGCCCCGGAGTCCGCAGACGGAGAACGGGCTCCCCGCGGACCCTGGGCCGTCGCCTGGAAACTCCCAGACGGACAGCGGAAGGGGGTCCGAGTCGGAGGGCGTGGACACGCCCCCCCCCGTCAGCAGCCTCCAGAAGTATCTTGAGCCTGAGGGGATGGTGTGGGCTACGGCCGTGGCCCTGGCTTGGTTGGAACACAGCTCAGCTGACTATTTCATAGAATGGGAGCTGATTGCTGCCAAGGCCAGCATGTGGCTCAATTCACAGGTCATTCCGGAAGGCCGGGATCTGGCTTCAGTCAAAGCTGCGGCCCGGCAGCTCTTCGTCATCCTAAGACACTGGGATGAAAACCTGCAACTGACCATGCTCTGCTACAACCCCAGCAGTGTCTAAACCCGGCGGACACTGAGCCGGTGGGGATCAAACACTGTGTTGTCACACTGTCGTTGTGTTTGTGGCTTCCAAAGCTGGTTTTCGTGGGAAAAGGTTTGTGTGGATTTGAACTTCATCTGCCAGCTTGCTGTTTTAATCGTTGGTTCATTTACCTAGATGCTACGTTTATCTATATAGCAAGAAGTGGTCAAATAGGGAGCAGTTGCATTATTCGATACAAAATGTAGCATGCTTGTGTGAGGATTAAGCAAAGGTGAGGGGGAAGAGATCAGAGGGCTCTGATTATTAGAGAAAGACCTTCTCTTTTTTTCTAATGTGTATGAAGACCCTCTAGGCCCTGGTCCAGTTGGAAAGCATTTCAAAACAAACAAAAGTGAAGATGATACTAGATTAGCTGGAGTTGCAAACACGACAACCACAGCAATTGGAAACTGGAAATTCTGGAGGAATTTCACATGTAGAAATCTGCAAACACAGTCACGTGTGTCTATAGAAAATGAGTGTTACTAAGTGGAAGGTATTTCAAACTGGCAAAAAGAATATAGCATTTTACGTAGGAGGAGCTGAACTTAAGATAACCTCCAAAAGGACTGAAGAGTTCATTCTGGCTTAGCAGTGTCCTCTTCTAGAGGAATCAGTGAAGTTAAAAAACAGGTGAAATGTATGCTTGGAAATGCGATGAAAGGAGATGAATCCCAATCAAGGGCAGTCATGCTACAACGGTACAATTCTTTTCTAAGGCTATGTTTAGAATACTGCATTCAGCTTAACTCACTGTATCACACAATAGAACTCACTGCGCTGGAAACAAGAATTTTAACATTTGAAAATGTCATATACTGAGAACTTATAATAACTTAATCTATTTAGGCTACTATGACAGAATGTCTCGGTGAAATCACTGAGGCATTTAAAATCCTGAATTGAACTGCTGAGAGTATACCAGCTTGTTTAAGCTCGACAAGGAAACAAGGACTAGCAGATACCAGCGAAAGTACATGTGTATCAGTACAATTGGAGGCTTTTTTTCCACATGGAGCTGTGGGTTTTTGGAACAGACGATCTCATTAAGTTGTGGAAGCCGTTTTAAGTGGTATCTATAAACAAGTAGAAAGACAGCTTCCAGCATTGACAACCCTGTTAAATCCATTTTATTTTTGACGTTGTTAGTTATTGGCTGTTTTTTGAAAGAAACAGTCATTGGGAGATCAAATTAATTAATGAAAAACAGATGTTCAGGTTATTCAACTTATAAGCTGAGGAAAGGAGAAATTAGATAACCTGAAAAGCAAAGGTATATGAAATGGAAAATCAAATAATAAGAGTCTGTCTTTATCTCTGAAAGCCAATGTCTTGTTGTTGTTATGCAGATTTAAAATATCAATTTTGGTTGTGCACTGTTTTTAGCCTTATTCTTCAGAGGCTTAATGGACTTGTGCCATGTGCAAAAAGGTTTCAGTATGTCCCCCATTTCCACAAAGGACCCCATACCAGCATCTTAAGATCTAGCATGTTTGTATAACCAGTTGTTCTTAGCCTGGGGTGCACACACCCATGGGGGTGTGAGATGCCCTGTCTCATCAAAAACACGAATCACATCAACAATTTTTGATCTGGGGTGCGAGACCATAATTTGAGAACCAAGGGGGTGCAGGTTACAGGTGCAGGTTGTTAGGCTGAGTGCAGGTGCAGGTGCAGTTAAGTTAGGAACCACTGCCTTAGATGACTTCAGAAAGCCTACAATAAAATCTTCTGTTTCTGTTAACCAGCATCGACCTGAACAAAACAAGTATAGTTCAACCAGGATGTTCAACAAGTATCTGAAGTCAAAGCACTGTAGTAAAGGTAAAATGTGCAAGGATCCTATGTAGGAATTAAAAAAAATGTGCTGAGTTTCTACAGTTTATGGGGTACAATACCGTAACCAAATAAACTAGTTCAAGTAGGTAGAAGGTTCCACAGTTGAAATGTTGCGTCTCTTTTCTTTTCCGCATGGAATAAACCTTTACCTCTTCCTTTGCACCATATGAACTAACTCATTCTCCAGAAAGGAAACAACATTGCTTGAATTTACATGTGAGCCAAACCGGCAAATGGACCAGGACAGACAGTTGTTGTCAACAAAAGGATATGATGATTAAGGCCTGCCAAAGTTCTGGACTGGTAGATTTAATTTTAAATGCAGGCAAGGGCATCTCAATTAAAACTTTAGAAAGGCTTTTGCCTTCCTAGCCCTCATTTCCACTTGTACTTATTAATATAAGTGCCCTATGCACTTTCCCAACCGTTAAAAAAAAATCCATTAACAATTGAGCATCTGACATTTGCCAAACATTCTTTAATTATTATGCAAATTACACAGTATGACACAAGTCCTTTAAACACGCTGTAAGGACCAAAAGCAAATGTCAAGAATAACTGGACAGCTGGTCTTCATTATTTTTCATAGTTTTAGTAAAAAGTCACAATTTTGTTCACGCAACCCATAACTGCAAAAATGGTCAATTCTCTAAAACTGATAATTGGTAGGCCTGGACCCAAAAAAAAAAAAACAACCTCTCTCACTCAAATAATGGAAACAGGGACTTTAAGAGGCATTTATGGATAGGCATCTATGATACCCATATGGTACTCCCTCTGGTGAGAGACTGCTCTGCTTTTCCTTTTTTAAATGAAATCTTCCCAGCACTATTCATAAGCCCTAAGAGCAAAACTATTCTAAACCATACATTTATATGTACAAATGAGATGATAGAAAGGGAATTTATGCATGAATCGGTCATTAAATATAAACATTTTCTATTTCAACTCACCACATTATTTCGGTGCCTTTTGAGCATATTGCTTCACCTTGAAATATCTTACTGTTTAGGGTTTGCTGTAGCTCTCCTTCTGTTAGACTGTACTGAATTCCAGTTTTTCTCTGTGCTCATTAACCTTAAGTGCCTAAATACTGTTTGAGCTTTCACGAGGACTGTATCCCACAACATTTCTTAATACTCAAACTGAGAAAGTCACTCTAACATCTGTAAGATTGTCATTGTCTCAATAGCACGCCTTCACTTTAATATAAAATGAAAAATATTTTTCTGCTTCTACGTGCGTTTTTTTACATTGTATATTGTACACATTGAAAACAGACTTGCTTATGCTTGTGGTCCCTTATGAGTGGAAGTTACATGGTTTAAACTTGAACATGAACTTGAAGATAGTTTACATAGGTTTTTTTAGACAGGCTTAATTGAGAAACGGTTTGTTAAAGACAAGGAATGTTCCCTTTTTTTAAAAAATGTTTATTCTCTCATATCCGAATAGCACTTTTAAGTTACATGTTTGGCAAGACATAAGCTGTGTTTTTGAACTGGACACTGTTTATTTACAGAATATTTTATATCTTAATTCTGAATGGACACTCTATGATATTCTGTACATTTATTTCAAGGAACAATTAAGACAGTGGAATTTTAACATGCTATACTTAAAGTTGTTTTATTATGCAACTGTTTTTGAGACAGTGATGTTTCATAATTATGATGTATGAGAAAACCATCAATGATAATCAATTACACTGCTTTTACTTAATCTGAATTAGCCTTTTTATTGATCATGACAGACATCAAGCTCAAGTGTTAAAAAGGTAATTATGCATATTTTTAAAGCAGTGGCTTGTGCAATTGCCATGTTTTTGTTAAACTTTTCACTTCCTAAATTTTCACATATTGATTATTATATTAGAAGATATCTCCATAAATGTTCAAACTTTTTCAAAAGGGATACACAAATGTTAAAACAATGGACTCCAGCATTAAAAAAAATTGTTTATTCAGATACAGGCCTTGTTTAAGCTACGTTCCAACACATTTACTCCTTTCTCTGCAGATGGTCCACCACATTGGTAAAGCAATGTAGATGTTTAAGGATTATTGTCTCAAACTCAGATATGTAGAATCTGAAAACAAAGTGCTCTAGAACTGCTCCATTTTCACTGCATTACTTAAACAGATACAGTACTTTGGAACTCTTTGTGATTGTTTGCCAGTATAAATTCTGTAACTTCTTGACAAACCATGGTATTTTTGAAAGCTGTGCTTGTAAAAATGTTGTTGCAGGCTTTACTTTAAAACTGAGGATCAGTGGAAAAAATCTGTGTTGCACAAGTGACTGTAATAAAAATGGTGTTGACTGTTCAATACTATTATGTGCTGCTAAACGGTGAAGATTTGAAAAAAAATCCCAGTGCTTAAATGAGCAATGTCACTGCATGTAATAAACTGAAATGGTAAATGAAGTAAATATACTCTGAACTGTTGTTTCTTATTTGGTTGTTTTTTTTTTACTAATACATCGTAGCGGGTTCACTTTGCTGGGCTCAATAATATTCCTCAGGAAAACTTATGGTATCTTTGTATCAGTAAGTAATTTAATAATCATTTAAAAATGCTTGCATAAACAGTAACATTACAATTAAATGAAAATCCAGTTAAAACTAGATTCATCTGGATCAGATGTTTGACAAACCCACTGACTGAAAGCTAGTGACCAGTTTAAAGACAAAATACACATTCAGGTCTTTTCTTTTCTAGTGCATTTGGTTTAAGCTAGAGTTTTGATAAGGTACAGTACTACGCTAAACAGCTGGGACATTTGATCCACTGGATTTCGGCTGTACGTTTTGTATCCAAAATCACTAAAGTTAATTGAAGAGCAGTCAAGATAGTATTGTATACTGTATCTAGCTTTGCCAGAAGAAGAGCTGTGTAATGTAGACCAGGATCACAATACAGCAATTTCATATCATATCTTAATAATCACAATTACATATTATAGTAGTGTACATATTTTTGTTTTTTGTTTCACTACGTACCAATTCTTACAACAAGCATAACCATTATTAATACAGGGCTGTGATTCCCACCATATTAACAATTAAGTCTAGATTTGCTCTAGAACACTGGTGAAATACGATTTGGGTATCCAGTCCACACTTGAGCTCTGTGGAGTCCAAAGAGTCCAAAGGATTTCTGCACAGATAAGCAGACGAACAGCTCACGTCTCCCCGTGAAATAGGGGTTCAAACCGAACAATGCTGGTACCCAGTTTGTGAGCTGGGTGGGCTTTTAGACCCCCAAGTAATTGCGTCTATCTCTCTCAATGTTACCCCATGCCCCTGGAGGACTCGTCATTCCACCTCGCATTCCAGCACTGTTCCCAATTAGCCCATTTACCCCAGACTACTGCTAGGTAGTAGCTTTCCAGAATTTTCCAGGACCAGTCACTCCAGATTTCCTCTGGGCCGAGCTGATGAAACATACTGCACACCTAATGACGGGAAGAGACTCTTTTTAATTACTGAGCTGGCACAGATGACATCTGCACTAGGAATGAAGCTAATAAAAGTTGCCACAATTATACACAAATAGTTTAAAAATGTAATTATTCCCTTCAATAAAATAACTAGCTTGTTGCCATGGACAAAAAAATTGAACCAAAAATAACCTGTGGCCTCACTCATTTTGTGTTTAAAATAAGATCATGGAATATTAGCTCAGTTTTCCTTGGACAATATCTTCTGGAGAAGAAAACATGGCAGATTTAAGGGCAAAACAAGCCTGAACTGATGAAAGCAAGGACACAGGGTTCCAATTTAATTTTTCATTTTCTTGGAGAACTGTATATGAGAAGAATTCGAAAAGAATTGTATTTAACCTGCTAGCAATTGAACCATCTAATGATTATTGATATTAACAGAATGCAGATTGTTCCCCTACAGAGTGTAAGCCCTGATTGGAGATATAATTGATTTTTCATTTGTAAAGTTTCCCTTGTTATGCCCACAATAGTCCTCAAAGTGTAATTGTTAGAGTGGTCCTAATTCTAACCCATAAAATGAACTCTGCCAGTTGGCTAACTCCATCCATCCATTTCATTTTCTAACCACTTTATCCAGTTCAGGGTCAACTGAAAAGACATACTGTTCTGTAGCAAGTCAAAGGCTCAAGGCAGGATACACCTTGGACAGGACACCACTTCACCACAGGGCACACACAGACACGCACACACCCACACCAAGGCCAGTTTTCCCAGAAGCCCATTAGCCTACCAGCATGTCTTTGGACTCTGGGAGGAAAGAGGAAAGAGCAAGAGGAATCCAATTCAAACACAAGGAGATCATACAACGCTAATCACTGCACCACTGTGTCACCCCATTTTGAGAACTTAATTTCTCAATTTTGGTATAAGATCTCATTTCACTGCAAATGCCGATGCATGAGAAATTAAATAGGATTAGAACAAAAGTTTGAACTCAGCTCTGAGTTCTGAGCTTCTGAGCTTCCAATATCCAGCAAAATATAGAAGAATACTTGCAATCCAAGTGATTTCGACTTCATCTAAGTGGTTGTCTTGGCCTGCGGGTGTAGAGAATCACCATTATTCCTGCGACTTTATGTGTTTCAATAAGTGTCAAAATGAGGCTGCTACAGTACCTCAGTACATCCAGAAAACTATACTGCCACAGCACTGAGTCACTGGAAACAAGCTTGGATGTTAGCTTTATGGATTTGTTTGAGATTTCCACACCATTTGAACACCACAACATCAGAAAGGGATAAGCTTAGCTTGCACTTGCTCCTGGGCCTTATACGTCCTTACTACGTAAAGGAGACTCATTATGGATCACTTTTTCATTAGATTATGTTTAAATGCCCAAATCCTTTACATATATGGGGTTATTTGCCTAGAATGTCATCTTTTTGAACACACAAGCAGTGCCTTTTGTGACCTGAGAGACGGGCTGAATGCTACAATGTCTTACTGAGTCCCTCAAACACTCGGTCCTGTTTTTGTGTTGTACTATGATCACAATTTCACTGAATTGAACCATGGAACTTCTTGAAGTGATACATAATAGGATTACATCTGTACTCATAATTGTTCACGTTGGAAGTTTATCATGCTTTTAGCTTGTAGCATTAAGCGCAATGCAAGTATTGACTTTGACTGGAGAAAAAAAAGGTTTAGTCAAGGAAAACACCAACATTGTGCAGCAAGGGTATTGAACCCACAACAACTGGTAAGGAGACAATATGGCCTCTCATTGATCCTCAAGACTGCACCTGCAAAACTGTCTTGAGACCTGTGTGAACTTTACCAAATATCCAGCAGCCATATCACTCTGCAACTCACAACTGGCAGCCCACTGAAGCTCAGCAGGTGTGAGCCTGGTCAGTACCTCGTTGGGAGACCTCCTGGGAAAAACTATGGTTACTGCTGGAAGAGGTGTTAGTGGGGCCAGCAGGGGGCGCTCACCCTGCGGTCCATGTGGGTCCTAATGCCCCAGTATAGTGACAGGGACACTATACTGTAAACAGGTGCCATCCTTCGGATGAGATGTAAAACCGAGGGCCTGACACTCTGTGGTCATTAAAAGTCCCAGGGTGTTTCTTGAAAAGAGTAGTGGTGTAACCCCGTTGTCCTGGTCATAATTTCCCATTGGCCCTTACCAATCATGGCCTCCTAATAATCCTCATCTATGAATTGGCTTAATTGCTTTGCTCTCCTCCCCACTGAGAGCTGGTGTGAGTTGAGCGTTCTGGCGCACTATGGCTGCCGTCGCATCATCCAGGTAGGGCTGCACACTGGTGGTGGTGGAGGAGATCCCCGTTACCTGTAAAGCGCTTTGAGTGGAGTGTCCAAAAAAGCGCTATATAAGTGTAAGCAATTATTAATATTAAATAACTTGACATATTTAAAAGTTGAGTTCTTGGATGGAAAAGTACTAAAAGATCCTATAGCTCTTGAAAAACATTCTGGCCCACTGATTCAATTTCTTACTTTTACTTTGGACCATTTTTTTTACCCTATACCTACTGCATGCTATAGCACTGCTGTCCACTAATTAAAGTTTAAGTGAAAACTACTTGATTTTTCATTCATGCTTTTTAGCAAATTCATTCACTGAAAAACAAGCATCCGCCTAACCGAGCTCCAGCACCCTGGTCCCCAAAACATTGGATAATTCAAAAGGATTTTTCTCAAAAAGGTGGAACTACTCTGTGCCCAACAGGTTGAAACTGAAGCAGAGTATTTCAGCAGGTCTTCCTCATTTGCTTGTTACTACCTTCCCAGTACAATGTGTGACATTGCAAGTGCGTTATTATTGGAAAATGACTGTGCATGAAGGTGCTAACTGGTAACGTTGTAGAGCTCTTGAGTAGTAGCTGTGCTACATCAGGCACGATCCCTTAAATAGGCTGCAGCTGCAGACATGTTACTGAATCAAAATAAGAAAAAATGGTTAAAAATTACAATTTGAAATTATTTTTCGGACGAAGAAAGACTTCAATGAAGACAAACGCACAAAAATAAATGCTTTGGGATAAGTGGTGCTTATATTAAGAAAACTGGGAATGACCGGTGTCCCGTACAGACTGTATCCCCCTTTCCCTGTTTGGGAATAAGATAGGCTCCATCTCTCCCTGTGACCCTGAATTGGTTAAATTTGAAGTGAAGTGGCTAGCAAATAACCTGATGTGGCTAGAAAATGGATGAATGGAGATTAGAAAAGGGTGTGATTGTGGAACAATGGTTACTATTGCTGCCTCACATCCCTGGGGCCCTGGGTTCAATTCCTGACCTGGGGGGAGTTTGCATGTTCTCCTTGTTTCCTCTGGGTGCTCCAGTTTCATCCCACAGTCCAAAGACATGTTGGTACGAGAAGTAAATTGGCTTCTGGGAAAAGTGGCCCTGGTGTGTGTGTCAATGTCGGCCCTACGATGGACTGGTGTCACATTGCGGGTGTACCCTGCCTAGTACCTGTTGCTTGCTGGGATAGGCTCCAGCTCCCCCATGACCCTGAATTGGATGAAGTGGTAAGAAAATGAATGGATCTTAGGACAAACTTAGCTAAATACCAGCTCAGAAGATCCGGATAAACCCCAGTAATGTGATTTTGACAAAGAAAGAGTTGTTATTGAAATGGCTGGCTTTAACGTTTTGGTTTGAGGGATGATCTCTTGCCCATTGGATGAAAAAGATGGACCCTGCCTCCCTCAGCTACAATCCAGAGGGCTGCTGTCCTGGTGGTGGTGCTGATGCCAAAGCTCAGAATGATGGGATCTGAATCCTTGGTCCTTGGTCCAAACTCTCATGATTAACTTTGGTTGCTACCCAATTTATTTTCTTGTCATTATGTCCTTTTACATTGAAGGTTCTCCATCCAGCCTATTTCTGCAGACATGTGGATGTAACACAGTTGTCACCGCAAATGAGCATAGTAAATTGTGAAGAAATTGCTAAT